CCCCCCCCCCCCCCCTCTTTCATTTTGACACTCACTGCTTTTTTATTGCTGGAAAGAGGAAAAGCCACACTCAGCTACCCCAGGAGTGAAATGCCAGCTCTCCTTAGGATGGAACAGTGTTCATTTTAGGCTTTGGTGTTGGAACTCAAGCATAATATGGCTTGAGACTCTGGCTGAAATTTTGTACTTCACTATAGTTCACACACATACACACATGCACACACAATTCCTGCGGTATAACAACCTAGCTATAAGCAATGATGGAAACTTGTTGCCTCCTCACTAAGCAAGCCTTGGCTAGGAGTTGGAATAAAGCCATTCCTTTCTTTACTCAGGAGGTATGCAGAATGGGCTGCTCGCCCTCTGAGGTTTGCAGAATTGATCCTTGGCTACGTAATCTGTCATGGCCTTTAGAGTCTGTGGGCTAAATCCCTGTGTAAGATACAGGAGTAAGAGGAAGTAATGAATTTGAAATTACAGAAGTACTAATCCCATCTCTCAGCATTACTGTATCTCTTCTTTGCACCAAAGAGAGCATCCAGCAAATGCTACGCTTTGAGGCTTTTTGCTACTATAGCTGCAGCTTCTCTTTCACAGTCAGATCTCCCTATAAATATGACCAGAGTGTTTGCTGCATCTCTTCCTACCTGTCCTGCCAAGGGATGAATGTTAAGTGTGTAAAGTTCTGCCTTGGGTGGGCACAGGTGTCTGGAGGGTGTTGAGGCCCAGAGTGACAATTGCAGAAGTGAAGTGCATTTTTTGATCACAGAGAGAACACAAGAAACTTTATTTCCTTTCTGATGCCAGGAACCCTGCTCAGCCTGGCAATGGAGGGCCAAGTTCCTGTCCACAGGCTGGCTGGTCTGTCAATGGTGAGATTGAAAGCAGACCCAAACAGGCTGCTTCTCTATATGGAGACATGCGCTCCTGGTATTCATTTGAATGGAGAGGAGGGAAAAAGAGGGTTGCTAAACAAGGGTGTTCTCAAAAATAAACATTGCTAGGGCTCCGGAAGAAGAGGCACAGACTCAGAAGAGGAAAGGCACATAGTTTCAGAAAGTTCTCAGCTATATTAAGCCCCGGGAACCCAAAATGGCCCAAGTTCAGATCTTTCAGCCCAGAGCTGCATCTGTTCTGCTATGAGATTCTGGGGATGAATAGAAAAGGGTAGGATTATACTGTTCACTGGATCAGTGAGCTGAAAGAGGCCATGGTAGACTATTAGTCTGACTCTGCTGAATGCAGGAATCTGTGTCAGAGCCTCTCTAAAACATATTCTCCAGCCTTTGCTTGAAGTCATCTAGGGAAGGGGTTCCTTTAACTCGCTGAAAGAAGGGTATATGATGGACTATGAATTCTTACTTTAATCACCAGCCTGGTCTCCTGAAAATCTTAAGGAAACCTTGCCTTTCTGCTGCAAGTTGTCTGCAGGCATGTGAGAGAGAATTATGTAATATAAATACACACGTGATCTTTTTAGAGTATCATGGAAACACCATTTCTGAGGAAGCTGGCTGAAATTAAGAGGAATGTAAGTTGCAAAATTATATTGGCACGTGAAAAATG